ATCAAGCTGTATTGAATTCCTGTTTTTAATAAATAGTGGTGTATTTTAAGCGATGAAGTACCACTGTTTAGTATCTTTCCTTCCTGTGATGGATATATCCATATTTTTTAATTCTTAAACCCTTTTTGTAAGTCATAAACCTCGTACCAATTCCTGAGACTCCTTGATGGCAGAAGCTGAAAGTCATAGTGGCAGCCCATAATGAAATTCCCTGCATGTCATTAAACTTTTCTTTTTAAGATCCTGCAGGTTTTTTAACCATAATATAAATATTTGCCTGTTTGTCTGTGTTAAATATAGAGTCTTGGTAACAAAGCCTATCTGTTTTCCCAGCTATATAAGCCAGTGTAAAAAATCCTGTAGTCTTGCTTCCCTTCAGTGTCTGTTTGAAGAGGGTTTGTCCATACTAGCTCTTTCGCTTCGGCAGCTCGTACAGACACGGAGAGTAAGCTGCTTTAAAATGGAGAATTAAAAGGAGGTACGTCCATAGGAATCTCCCCTCTCATCTTTAATTACATAAAACAAATATGTAATGTTTCTTGTATGATATTCTTATCATACGATTTTTGGGCTTTATGGATTTTTACTTCAGTGTGTGTCCTGATAGTTAGCACTGAATTTTCACTGAGCTTACCTTTAAGGTGGACTAAGAATCTAACTGTATGAAATCCACTGTTGTGCAGACTACACCAAAGAAGAGGCATACGCAAAGGTTTATGCTTCATTTTCCAACATCTCATATACATTTTTTTTTTCTACTTTAAACCAGTATGAATAACGTCCTTTACCTTTTTATTGTAAACATTTAGGCTTAAAGTGATTATAACTGACAGTTAAAACCAGCAGGAGCCAGTGGCCTTTTCATATACACATTAACTGTAAGACGGGCAACATCAGAAATAAACGTTTCTAGCAGTACCTTCAGTCCACCACACCTAGCAGACAGATGTTTTTAGGTTTTCTTAACAGCTTTGTCCTGTGGAATAACTTTAAAATTCTTAGTCCTTTCTGTGAAAAAAATAATGCTTTCATTTTGAGTTATTTTGCAATTGACTTTTTTATGTATATTTTGATTCATTCACTGCTCCAGAGCAGCACAAAATGGTAAAAGGATTTCATCCAGCAATGTAAGCTTTTTCATATGGAATTGTTTAAAAATAATGATGGAGTGAGGGTTGAAAGCAAGCTAACTTTAACCTTTGGTAAAATTGGTCAATCTTCTCATCACATACAGTCACAAAAAATTCTGTGAGGTATCATATACAGTAATTAATTTGGGGTTATCATTTGACCATGAGCGAGGTTTTTTTCTGTTTTGTACTGTTGAAAAAGCTAAGATTGAAATTAAGAAATCCTCGTTGGCAAAAGGAGCTGTGCTCTCATGTGATTCTGTGGAAATAAACATTCTAGTTACTTGAGTGCAGTTAAGTGATGGTTAGCACATTTTGGCTACTGCATACTGCAAAATAAATAATTGGACATCAGAAACTATTTCAAAGTGAGGAAAAATGAGTCTACAGATACAGAAACCAAAGCTGCAGAAAGACCACAGAGGTGGTCGCAGAGCTGTGTTATCTCGCCCCAGGTTCATTCCTTGCTTGCAGCCAGGTTCTCATGCCAACAGGACTTGAAACTGTGCGGCAGGAATCTGTGTGAAGGCACGGCTGGCAAGGCCAGGTGATGCTTCAGGAAGTGTCTCTGCTGACTCCATTCAGACACACTCACTTAAAGACCACAGAGCTCCAAAACAAAGGTTTTTGGGCATGGATTCCAGACGTAGGAAAAGGACAGTAATGCCATAAATTGTTGTGCATCACAGCCCCACCCAAAACACGCTTAGAGCTCTGGTATTTTTTCCACTTTTTTTATTCTTTAAGGAGTAGATGTCAGGATTGTTATGGGTGTTACAAGTCACATTCTTTTGCAGCAGGTAAGTGGCATCAAATCATGATTGTAATCATCCTTTTCATTTACTTCAGCTTGTCTTTTGAGCATTATTTTGAGAGAATTCTTCACTGGTGGCCTTCTGAAATGCAGTTGTGGCTGGTTTTGTGGCACAGTTTCTATTAGGAGTTCAGTTTGCCATCACAATGTTGAACAAACACCCCATTTAAGAACCTTTTCCAGAAATATAGACACACACACAGACTCTCTACAAATGGCTGACCTTTAACTGGCAGAGTGGTGGTGGAGGTCTGGTTGTGACTAGTAGTAATGGAGTCGCTTGTGTAACCGCGCAGGTACGAGGAAATGGGCACAGCTCCATTGCTTTGGTTCTTACCGTGTCTTTCCTAAGGCTCTGACCGCTGCTTTCAAAGATTTGTGAACTAATGGTGCAGTCTCGTGGGGTTTTTGTACAGCATAGGTATTGTTGAAATAGGACCTGGACGTTAACCCGTGAGGTAACAGCAGAGGATTTGGCAGTTACAAACTTTTTCAGTAGCGTTGAACTTCAGAAGTCTGTAAACAGAAATAACTATTAATGCTAATTTCAGATGAGATTGTTCCTTATGAGTGTGATCTAATTGATAAAACCTGAAGTGAGTCACCTGAGCAACTGCTTTCTAAAGGTAAAGATGTGAACTAACCATGATGGAAGCAGATGTGTGCTAGCAGGGGTAAGTTGTGTACAACCCAAATACCATCCTGTCGTGTTCACCTGCACTCATGGCTGCGAGAAGGCCCCTCCAAGACTGCGCAGATACTTGATAGCCTGAGCGCTAAAATAACCTTTCTAAGCCTCCGAAAACTCCCCTCCTTCACCTGCAGCACATCAGCCTCCTCGCAGTAGCTGTACAACTCTGTGCCCACCCAGCTGCTAAGCAGTCCCTGCTGGGGGCACGGCGGGGGTTTGCGGTATCAGAAAGCCTTGCCAGACAAAGCACCCAGGCGTTGCTCATGGGTTTAGTGCCCACTCCTGCTACCTTACAGAAGAATTGTATCCATGTAAAAATGCACAGCTAGTAGCTTTCAAGTTTGCAGTTGCACCTGCAAAGATGGTGTTTCACGTAACTATTGTTCCTTTTTCTCTTAAAATATTAAAGCTCTCTTTGAAGTTAGCCCAGTACCAGGGCCTTCTCTGGGACATGGAGAATGCAGGTTTGTTATCCTGCTCTGCCTGTTTCTCCCTCTTTCTCTTTGATCTGAGGAAGCAGTGGTGTGCTGTCACAAATAGAGATTCTCTGGTTTTACAAATAGAAATTCTCATTGGTAGACACTGGGTTTGGGTGAGATGATGCTTTCTTACCTACTTTTTTTGTTCACTAGAAAAAGTGAAAATGACATAACATAACAATGATTGCCATGGTGATGATCACCAGTATTTGGTAGTTGCTGAATTTGTGGTTTAGTTGCTCCATTGAAGACAAATGTCTGTTTCATAAAAAGCAGGATTAGTCAGCCTGCCTAGGATCTGTGTTGGAAACTTCACTGGAGCAAAGCAGAGCAACTACTCTGTGTAAGAGAGTGGTGCAAGATGCTTATGATGCAGATACTGAAAAGATTATTTAGGGCTGTTCTAGTCAAGGAAAAAGCTCCTTGCTGATTCTGATCAACGGGAATACTCTCAGTTCTCTGAGTGTCTACTATTTTCTGTGTTCATTTTAGAAAGTGGTTCTTGTTTCGACTACTTTCGCATTTCCTTTGCTTTTAGTTGTTACAAGTGGTAAAGATACCCTCATCTAATTTGTCCTTTTATAACATTTCCTCATATCACCTGTCATGTTTTCCTTTAATTATAAAAAAGAATAATATATAGACTCAATCTTCAGAGTCTATTTTGATGCTGATAGTTCTTTCCTTTTTTTTTTTTTCCTAGTTTTTTTAAGTTGGAAACATCGTAGGTGAAATGAAGACCAGATTTTGATGTAGCATACTTCTAGTATTACTGTTCGCGGTATCTTAATATTTTAGTGTTTCCTTTGTTTGCCAATCTAGACTAAATGCATTTCCATAATGAAGTTCAGGTGATTTCCATGATGGTTTTGAATAAGAACTCAGAGTATATTAAACTTGTTGAATTATTTTTGTGCTTTATTTTGTATTTGCCTGCTTTCCACACGATTTAACCTCCAGAGTAGTGATAATCTTAAGTCTTCCTTAGCAGTGACTGTCCTGCATCATCTTCTGAATTATTAATAATGTGAAAAAAATTAACAGTACAGATTATGGAGAGATTATGTTAAGTGTGTGTGAAAGCTAGGATGCAAGAATGGTAAGAGCATCCTGAGTTATTTGCCTGTCTGTCCTCATATCCTAGAAAACCAAAGATTTTCTCCATTATTTGATGTGCATACCCAGAAGATACCAAAGAAACCTAGTTCCCATTTGCACAGGTTGTGCTGGTTTGTCTCGAGCATTTCCTGCATATGTTTTGCTACCATACAGTCTCCTGTAGTAACATCTGACTGAATTAAGTAGTAGTGTGTTTTGTTAACTGCTTAACCACTTCATTCTTAAATTCCTGCAGAACTATTTGATTAAGATCATCTGGTCCTAGTAAGTTACTTTGCTTCTTAGGTAGGCAGTTTGTTCCAGTGCCTGCAGCCCGTCACTGAAGCAGTGAGAGGCTCCAGGGAGTTCTCCCATCCCCACTCCTGACTGCTATTGCAAGAAAGAAAGATGGGTGTAGGCTGACACAGAGCTTGCACGCAGCCCCTGAAGTGCTCCCAGGCTTCCCACTTTACAGCTGTTGAATTTTTGTATGATCTGCACTGGTGTCGTGAACCCATTTTGGGAGCAAAGACACCGGTATGTGGAGAAAGATATTTAAAGATACAGCTGCACTACAATTAAAGAGAGCATGAGACCGTACCCAGCTTCATATTCCAAGTATTTTCTGGAAATAATGTGGTTTCCTGACATATTAGACATCAGGGCTTTTTTCCTTTTTAACAGTTCACTGTTTTTCTAACATTTGACTTGTTAGAGGTATTCATCCTGTGCAAGTGTTCTCACTGAGTGCCGGTCTCCTCCTCAGACAGCTTAATGTTTCTTTACAGATCTTGGAACATATTTGACAATACACGTCAGGACCCCACAGGACTAACAGCAGTTCTTCAGTCTACGGATCTGGTTGGAGTCTTGCATATGCTGTACTGTGTTCTTTTCCACGGGACAATTTCGGATCCAAACACAGCAAGTCCTAAAGACAGCTATGCCGTGAACACAATCCAGGTTGCCATTCAGAGTTTACGTTTCTTCAATAGTTTTGCTGTTCTCGATCTGCCTGCCTTTCAGGTAACAGATGTTTTAAAACTTTTGCTTAGTGGGAAAATATTAATTATTGCATGTACTTTTGGACTAAGTTTTTTCTTTAAGTCCTTAGTTGATGAAGGAACTTTGATGATTAAATGTTTAAGTGTTCTTCGTGCATAAAATTGGTAACTGTTGTTGTTTCCACCGTCTAGCTATGGCTGACCAAAAAGTACAAATTTAGACTACGTAAAAGACTGAATCAAATCCATTACTATTTCTATTCAAAAACCCTCACTTTTAGTGCAGTATTTTTTATATTTAATAAGCTCCAAAAATGTAAAAAAAACTTGGTCGAAAGCACAAAATAACATTTTTTTCTAATGTGAAATGTCTTGCTTATATTACAATCACAATTTACATTTTTCAGGGCTTTCAGTGGCCACTTGCTTAACAGTTATACAACTGAAATGGAAAATCATTTGATACCAACGTCTGTTTCATCCAAGTAAATTTTTATTGACCAAAAATTGGAAATTCTACTTTTCAGAATTTTTACTTGCAAAACAAATCCAAAAAGATCACATTTTGAATCTTGAGAAGGTATTTTCTTACTTTGTTCTGTGAACAGATTTCTGGTGTAAATGAATTGTTTTGCCATACAAAGAAAATCCAAGTACTAGTGTATTTCTCAGATAAATTGGAAATGCTGTTGTTCTTAATATAAAACACCTGTCAAAAAGCATTACTTGGCAAAACACGTTTAGCAGCATCAATCTTACACAATTCATCAGAATAGGTTTCTCTTTCATTTAATACGTAATTTGTATATAAGTTGTACCACACACTCCATCTGAAATGCATTAAACTCTGCAAGAGCTTTGGATGAGTAAAAAATTCAGTATCAGGTTTGTCTCCATTTGTATTTCTTGATTTTGATTTTCAGTAAATTTATTATCTCTAATAACAGCAACAAACGATTTGCATATAGCAACTTCCATCTGTATAGATGCAGTTGCAGGATCCAGTCCAGTCAGGGCTTTTTTACAAGGCACAGAAACAGTATATTTATTGGAGTTTCATGTAAAACAACCCTTACACGCACCATTAACTCCCATTCCTTTCTGTAAATCAAGGTGCATCAAAGCAGTTCTCTTCTACAGCTTGTTCAGTACCTCTTGGCTTGAGACTGGAAGTTTATTTGTTGCTGTAGATATTGCAGGTATATACCAGGCAGGAAGTCCTGAATAAGTGGCAGGAAGTCCAGTTTGTAGGGGAGCTGTAGCAAATCACGCTGGCTGAAGGGCTGCCCCCCGACATTTCAAGAAATCACTATTAATTTTTAAAACACAAGCTTCTACTCACACTGTCTGTATTTATTCCTCTACCAACTACCATTGTGTCTGAACATTTATAAGAACCCATGAGTATTAATTACCAAATCCCATGATCTGCATTAGTGTATTCTACATAAAATGGTGCAAGATAGTAATGATTGCATAAAGAGTGGTAGAAAACTAACCAGTGTGAATTATTTTACTCAGTTCATCAATGCAGGGCTCCTTCACTCAATAATTATCTGTCTAGTTGTCTAACTGAATTGCAGGCATAATATTTTTTTGTGATGGAGGAGCTATCCCTTTCAATGTATTAATGTGATTTATTTCTGTAATGTTAAAAAAAAGTCAGCATACACCTGAGGCAGTTTGATGTTGATTCTGACCGTGTGGACTATAGCAGGCTAACAGGCAGCAGAGGGAAAAAATGTAGTTTATGTACTGTCTGATTATTATCTGTGAGGTATAGTTTTATCATGTAATAGTAGGACTGCAGGATAGGGTTTTTTTGATTAACAGGAGAAGTCTGGTATTCTAGAGTTTGTATTCGCACAGATGGCTCATGCATATATATTTCATTTAATTTGACAGTCTAAACAATTGAAAGATGGTAGTGAGAAACAACGCAGGATCCTGAGCTCATATTAATTCTAGCTAAAAGGAAGCATAGTTTCCTTGAAAAATTAGTTTAACTTTTATACACAAACTCAGGTGCCCTTTGACCTGTTGTTATCAGGGAAGGTTAAACCCCGAGTGCTCGGTCACAGCATGCGTGGACAGCACTAATTAAATAAGGGTGGACCGAAGAACACGGCATTTACATCATGTTAAGCAATAAATGGTGGCAGTATTGTGCATTAAATTCTGAAAATATGCTAACTTACCAGAATGCTTGAGGTTCAAGATGGAAAATATCCACAGCCTAGTTGGTTTTAATTGCCAGGGATTCTACTTTTGCTGGCTAGATTTGGAGTATGCTGAAACTAAACTATACCCAGACGAGGATTTATGTATACGTACTTAACACAGGCTACAAGGTATAAAAATTAAGAAAACTCTCAAATGAAAGAGACTTTCTCCCAGGCCTGCATTGCTGTTCCATGAGAGTTAGTAGACTGTCATGCTCATTCCTTGTGCTTTAGTTTTCCCCTTTGACCTTGTGTCGTTCTGTCTGTTTGACATGTTTATTAAATAGAGGCTGTAGGCTGCGCAGATAAAATCTAATTCTGAATCTCCATGTTACAACGATTTGCCTACTTCTAAAAAGCATCCCAAGAAGCTTTGCAGCTGAGTGTTCTCTCCTTTTATTTGTTTCTAACCTTTTTTTAATGTTTGAAAAGTCATTATTTGTTACTAATTTTTGTATTCCATTCAGCGTTATTAATGAGAAATGCATTTTGCTCTTTTGCAGAAATGGATATGGTTTTCTTTCTTTTGCTTATTACTGAGAAATATTATTAGCATTAAGTTTTCCTGGAATATGTAATGTATGTCAAACGAAATATTTAACCTGATGCTACACTGAATGTCAGCTAAGTAGAATCTCATTTTTCCCAGATCTCTTTAAAATTTGAATTTATTTGTATTTTTGTGGCTTTTAATGTTATAGGCCAGTAGTAAGTGATAAGCTGATTCAGTCCTCTTCCAACAGTCAAGGCATCAAAGAGCATAGTAGTCTACACTTTGCAAAAAAATAGAAGGGTGCAGTGATGTGTATGTAATTCACACAATTTCTGTAACATAATGCTAGACTGTAAATTCTGTGTCTTGGCCTTTTTTTCAGTCTATTGTGGGTGCTGAAGGACTGTCCCTTGCATTCCGGCATATTATCAGCTCTCTGCTCTCATACTGTTCCCAGCATACCTGTGAAGGATTGCTACATGAAGTCATTATTTGTGTGGGCTATTTTACTGTAAACAACACAGATAATCAGGTAAGGCAAATGGAAAATGGGATCAGAAGTTATCAAGGGCACATTTAGTCATGGATCCCCTCAACAGCACTTGGGATTCCTATGAGCACAAATACATGCCTTCGCAAAAGAGAAGCTGAAGTTGCATCTTAACAAAATCAATTTATGTGGCCATAAACAAGCTCCATGTTCTTATGCAGACAATGATGCTGACATTGCATTGATTTTAACTAGCCTTACTCACTGCCAAAATATACTTAGCAACTGATACTTTTAATTCCAAGTTAACTTATGTCAACTTGATGAGATGGCTGCGGTACCCAATTTAAGCCCTTTTAAAGCAAACTAAGCTAACTCTGCCATGAAGACATCCTCAGCTGCCAAGGTAGCAATCTCCCTGGTAGCCAGAGAACTCATTTAAGTTTGAGCCATTCTTCTCCTTGAATCATTTTAGTAGTAAACCAAATACTCTGTGGAACAACCAGTGGCAATTCCCCTTTAGCTTCCTTGATTGTTGTCCACTTTTGTCAGTGGACTCTTGTGACCTCTCGTATTAGTTTATAAAATAACCTAGACATGAAACTTAAGGAGTATTTTGGTCTTAAAAATCTCTTGAATTTCCTCAGCTTAAATGTGGCATCTCAGGGTGTATTGGGCAGGGCAGAAGTTGGCACTGGCTCTTAATTTTTTGAGTATGTGAACCTGACTCTGCATGTGTAGAAACTGCGTTGTGGTGCCTACCTCTTTGGTGGAATTAATTTGAATGCTGTATTTTGTGAGGTTGCTCATTTTGTTTCTCTTCATACTTGTAACACCTGCTTCCTGGTTTAGTTCACCTTTTGGGGTAGGAGTTCAGGATGAGGAGCGTAGTGCCCTCAGTTAAGCTGATGAGCAGAAGAAAGAAGTGTTACAACTCATCAGCAAAGGTTTGGAGAAAAGCTGTCTGATAATGTTTTTAACAGTTGTTGACTATAATTGGAACATTATAACATCTTAAAGCTGACAATGATGTCAGAATTATATAATAATTATATATAACGTAATTATATGGTGAAGTTTCTGTGGCTTTGGCCGCAGCCGGAGGGAGGATCCTGCAGCTTTCCTACCCTGTGCCACCAAAGCCCACTCAGGATGTGGAGCTAACTGCAGGCAACACTGCTTAATACTCTTGTTTTGAAAATCCATGCAATATTGCTGCCATTTTCTGATTCCCGCTGCTACACAACGCGTCGTGTTGGCATCCAGAAGTGCCAGCAAACAATGTTGTCCTTTCTCTGCAGTTCAAAAATTTCTTCTCTGGCACACAAGTATAAACAGATGTGATTCATTGCAGAGAGGAATTGCAACTCTAAACGTGCCAGGAATAGCGCAGAAGAGGGATTTCCTACCAGCGATGTCAGTTAGGGCAGTCTGTAGTGCCTGTTGCTGTTCGGCGCTCGTGCCCCCCGGCGAAGGTCCGACCATGGCGAGCAGGCACCGTGCCACCGCAGCAGCTGGCTATGGCGGCTGCCGGCAGGCGGTCAAGAGACTGAGTATGTGCAGAATGCATTTGTCTGTGGGCATGCTTCCCAGCTGGTGACTCTGCAGTGTCTTGGAGCCTTCGGCATGTGCACTTGGGGTTCGGGTCATGTGCCATCACTAATCTACCCGTGGACGAGTTAACTGTCAACATTAAGAGGGGACTTGGGCAGCTCTGAGAGTCAAGTTAAGGTCTCTGGTTAAACAGCCACGGCATTTTAGTACTTTTCATACTCTAAAAGTAGTCTTTTATGGTGGCTTGCTTTGGTGGTACTGTCTCAGGAGATGTCATGACGTGTGTGACTTTTGATGTAATTCTGATATTCCTAATGAAGAAGATTTTAACTGAGGAAGTATCAGTTTTGTTTGGGTTTTTTGGTTAAAAAAAATTTTTGAAAAACTGAAACGTTGCTCACTCAAGTACTTGCAAAGTGTGGGGAAAAAGGTTGGTTTGTTTCTTTTTTTAGTAAAAGCAAGTATTTTTTCTTTTACCACTAGGCAAAGCAGTAAGACTTGCTTACAGTCAGTATTTTCAGGTGCTGCTAGTGTTGTGACTTCCAGTGACGATACGGTGCCTTTCATGAAAAGGGAAGTGCTTTCTGCTCATTCAGTTACTGTTTAATTTATTATTAAATTTTGAGCTTCCAGTTTTTTCTTTCATAGTAGGATTCTGCAGATGATCAACAAAAAGTAAAAAATAGTTCTCGCAATGAAAGCTTTCAAACAGTACGCTTCAACTCCTGGAAAGAACAGGGTAATAAAAATAGAGACACCAGACTTGAGCTGTGAAAACAAATTCTGTAGTCCCTGATAGTTCTTTTTATTTAGCATTTGAACAAACTTTTAAAAAGGCAATAACTGACGAATTTCAAAGCAGATCTGCATTATTCTTGCTGTCATATGTACATTTGTTTTGAAATGTTTGTAGTTTAAGTAAGTCTTTTCCTCTCTAAATTTGATTCCTTATTAGAAACCTTTGTTTGTTTTCAGTCCTTTCAACTTTCTCAAAACAAAACAAAAGCAAACAAAAAAACCCCATGAATAGTTACCTGGAAATTTCAGTGTGCCTTTTCTGATTCCTTTATCTACCCACATTAACAGATAAATATCCAAAACAGTGTACTGGTATAAAGAAAAAATGGCATGAATTATTAAAAAAATTGCAGCTTTCCAGTTCGGAGAATAGATAGATTTCTAAAAAGGAAATTTTACAGCCTGTCGACCTCAACATTGACCTTCTGTAGTAGCACTGTGATTTAAGTAAGTGAATTATTACCACTATGCAGTCAAAATAATAAAAGGGCAATTTCCTAAATATTTCGCATTCATAGAAGAAAATCTTCCAAGAACATCATATGCCAATCATTTAATGGAATATAGGTTTGTCTGGTTTTATTACACTATCTGTAAAAGTCTTTACGTTTAGTTGAGTGGCAAATTAAACAGGAAAGTTCTTTTCTCTCATATAGCTTTGAGATTCATATTTCACTGCAGTTTCCAGGAGCCCCAGAGAAGAGGAGGGCCTCACGGTGGGTCCTGCTCACATGCAGAGGCAGTGGCTGGGGTCCCAGTTAGCATTCTCACCACGGTTGGCTTTTGGTCCGGGCCCAAGCGATTCTGTCGAGGAGCAGTGAGGACAATGGATTCCTAAGGAATGCATTCCTAAGTGCTTTGATAGTGCTTGCTCTGTTTATTTTAAAAAGACTACGATTTTGCTGACTCTGCCCACGTATAATATATTAGTAATATTCCTTTCCTTTTTTCATGTTTTCTTTTAACATTCATAAAGCTTTTTCAGGGCAGCTGCTGTCACTGAAGAAATAAATCAGTTATGAAACTGAAAATTTCAAAAAGCAGAGAGTGTTTCTTTAATATTTTAAATGCTTTAACGTCGTTAGTCAAGCCCAAACTGCACTGTCTGTTTTGTATTGGCACGTGAACTTCTGTTTACTACAGAGTTAGACAGCCTGTGTTTCACGAGACGGGATTCTGTACTCATGGCACAGTGGAGCTCAGCTTTATTGGGCATCTGCTTTGCATGAAGTATGATCAAGGAAACTGATTCTCTTTTTTTGGCCATCGTTTAATCTACTAACATACAAAACCAGGTCCTGTGATACCAAGGATAGTCATGTAAAACTAAACTGCGTAATAAAATTAATGTCCAATCTTTCAATAAGACAACTGTACCATATCAGATCATGGGATTACAGTTGCTAATTAAAATGTGCTTGTTAATTTAAGATATCCTTCTATTTCATTACATTTTTATTCCCTTTCATTGTTTGATTTAATTATTGTAATGAATATAATTAGCATGTGCTGTCAACTCACTTCATTTGCATATTATATTGGATAATTGAATGTGGTCCCATAATTAAATTAACATGAATGACGGACGATGGGGCTTGTTTCACATTGCTGTATTGGGAATAAAAATCTTTCCATATTCATTGCAGTTAGTGAATATGAACATTTTTCATACTAAAAGTCATCACAAATCAGATCCCCAGCCTCAGGATCTTGCCTGACAGGCTCCAAAAGAAGTTGCATTGTTCATTTGTCTTGATATCCGTTTATTTAAATAAAACAGCTTTTGTTCATTCTGTCTCTGACACACACTGTATTTAGGGTGCTCTAGAAGAATCTTACTAACTTTTGGGATTTGTAGGATACGGAACTGCATACGAGTAAATTGTCCAACTAAAACATGTCATTACTACACTACAAACCAAAATCTCTGTGAAAGCGCTAGGGAACAGCGTATGTAGCCTTTAAAAAACTTATTATAAAATTAGGGTTTGTAGCTAGAAGTAAAACTTCTCTTAGAACAACTGGTGCAATTGGGAAAACTTGGATACACAAACCTTGTGTCCTTGAAGAAGGGACTTCGTCCCCAAACACTTGTCTTCCAGTTGCGTAAGTCTAACATTTCTCTGCCACTCCAAGCCTGTTATCCGTAGACACTTGGGTCCATCAGAACAGTACATTATTCTTACAGTAGACTTAACAAGTAACTGGAATGTTAATATCTAGTGATCCATTTGTTGAAAATAGAAGCACATAGAATTAGATTTAATAATATCATTCACTTATTAGAAACTTACCCTTGCTATATAAATGTTGAAAATGTATCGCAAAACATGTTTCTGGCATAACAGCTAGCTTCAGTTAAAGGAATAAGGAACAGTAAGATTACAGGATATTTCGGGAGAGGAATTTCTCCTGTCTTGAAAATATAAAATATCACATAGCAGTATCACAGGTATAAATACAATGTTCAAAGAAAATAAAATACTGTATGGTAGGCACAGTTCTGAAATGATCATGAAGTTTATGACTCATTCCCAGCACAAAAAACCCACGGTAGATAGTCCCCAAGAAAGGCTTCATCCTGAGATTCATAGAATCATAGAATCACTAGGTTGGAAAAGACCTTAGAGATCATCCAGATTGTCTTTTCCTTTTTTAAATGATTGGCTTATAGTTACATTTGCTTTCTT